TTTTCCAAGAATACAAGGAACCAAGATTTTCCTGCAGAATAGAAATGAATGTATGTTGTGCTGCTCCTGGCTGCATTATATAGTGCCAAGTGCATTAGTTGGTACTTCTGCCTCGCTTGCATCTCATCTCTCCAAGATTCAATTTATGGCAGCTGAGATAGAGTATCCTTCAGGATATTGCATTCATCCCTTTCATAAATCAAGAACCACTTTTTGATATAAGAGATGTGAGTCCAGAAAAAAGAGGGAAAACATATGGCACGAGGCTTTGTGAATGGCCAACTGGCATGTCTATTATGGCTGTTTGCAGCTTTTGGCTACTTTTCAAACCAGAAAGTAACATTTTGTATGCCGTGTATTCTTCCATACCAAATTAAAAAAAAAAAAAAAAAAGGAAAAAAAAGAGAAAGAAAACAAAAAACCTTTAGAAAAAAATTAAATTTCAACTGAAATTTCAGTGTCTTTCTTTCCATTTACTAAAATACAGCATCATTCCCATTTATAGTTGCTTTTTTCTCTCGTTTCAGAAGACACCTTCTGGTGATTACAGTAGCCCATGTGTTATCTTTGCCACTGATTTGGGCATAGTTATAGTTACATGCATTACTTCCTATCTTTCAGGACACTGCTGTGTTCTCTCCTGACATGGAGACAGTATCTGTGAGTAGGCAGTTAGACTTATCCAGGTGGTTCAGTGAAGTTTAGTTAATGCTTCCGAAGTAATCTGTGATCGCTTAATGAAATTACTGTGTTGGAGCAGTGGTTCACCAGGGGAGAAACTAACTATTGCCTTGTGAATGTACTCTGACGTTGTACAGAAATGCATACCAAGGTGAAAGTCCTCTGCAGGTATTCCATAACGATGACTTTCCTAGCCACAGAATATTCCTTTTGCTTCCCTGTGCAATGTGTAGCAGTCAGTGACACCAAGCCTCCTCAGCCTTCCTCGTTATGGACTACAAAGCTGTGGTGAACCATGTATGAAGGCTCACAACAGAATGCAACTCAGTGTTTCTTATTACCTCATAATGTTACTGCCTGCAGACCCCAGCATCTAAAACATTTTGAGACTCATGTAAGAAACAGTAAAGTAGTGAAAGAAAGGTAAAAGGTCGTGATTTCTGCAGAAAATGTACAGTTTCCTGCCTGTAACTTCTAGTAAATTTACAAGTATTACAGGCTCCATTTGACTACAGTTTGTGGCCCAAACACCTTGCAAAAATTCAGTCCATGAGGTAGCTCAGGTCCTCCTGCAGCTGGTCTTGAGGTCTGGTTGTTGCTCAGTTTTTAGCAACTGTTTTGCCTCAGGGTGCAACTGTGCGGCATTTCTTTGCTGGAGTAGTATTAGTTTTGCTAATCTGATTAAGCTCCAGTTGATAAAGCTGCCTGCTTAAAATTCAGTGTGAAGCTGAATTTCTGCAGGACGTTTTACATCTTGGGCCCAGAGTTACTTACTGCATATCACTTAAAAATATTTCACCTTTCAACCTGAAGGGACTTGGCCCTGCGTGCCAGCAATGGCTAACAGACAGACACATATTTAATAATCAATTTATTAACCACTTCAAAGTCCTCCAGGATAAAAGACACCATGCAAAGTCAGCCATTCCTACTTTATTTATAGTGAAGAGTACATAATGTGTTATAGTGCACAGTATACGATGAATTATATTTAACTCATTTAAGGAGGCTGACTATCATATCTCTGATAAAACCATCTGGAAAAGTATGTCTTTGAGAATACTTAACTTTAATTCTAGATTGATATTTAATCCAGCTCCTGAGAGCACATAGGTGGTTCCACAGAAACGAGCAGTGACAGCTTGTGGTACTGCTTTGGCTTATTTGGCACAAGCTGTGGCACAGTCATGGAAGCAGAGAAACAATCCCTGCTTGTTTATTTTGCTTAGCACTGGGTTGTGCCCTAAATCCACATCCTCTCTCTCTTTTCCACACTTCCAGAAGATGTTGTTGATTTTATTGATGTTGGCAGAATAAAGAAAACCCCATTGAACAAATTGCAGTTTTGCTGATTGTAGGCTTTGATTCTTTGTAACTTTCCTGTTGTAGATGAGCTGTTGCATTAGCAAGCCTCTATATTTTTACTCCTGTTAGCTGAAAGTTCATCTCTTACTAACTACATGTACACAATGTTTTTATCTGTACATTTCTTCTCATCATTCTTTTTTTTTTTTTAGTCCTTGAGGTCTACATGTTATACATTGCAGCATTTAGGAAATCTTATTTTAATCTATAATTTTTAATTTATGGAAATTATTAAAGAGAATTTTATTCTCTTCTTAATTCATTGTAGTGTGCTTTGTTTTTTTCTTTAATGAGCAGTCCCTTTGCTTTCTTCTATGCTAATCTTAGGCATTTTAAGGCAACTAAGCTTAACAATGCTAACTAAATAGTTGGACAGCATGTGTTAATGAGAGCTGTATTCCCTAGCCCTTCAGCCTCAAATAGCACTTACATACAGCCTGTGTAGAGCTCAGGCTGCTCTTCACCCACGTGCTTTGATTCCACCTTGCAGTTTTGGGGCTGCAAGAATGCTGGACTCGCTGCATTCCTGGCTGGCTGTCTGACCATCCCCAGGCTGTGGCCCGTCGGTAGCCACACACGGGGTGGTGTTGCTGGCGCGTGCTCTTTGCTTGATGGTCCCAAACAGGTGGCTGTCCCTAAAAGTGGCATGCGCTTTGACGGGTCCCCCAGTGGGCTGAGTGCTGCCTCCCCTATGAAGAACAGGAGCACACCCACAGAAATAAAAGTTCTGCTTTAAGTCAAAGTTTTACCAAAAAATAACCACCCCCACAACTTCCCACAGAAGCAGTACTGCTGTGCTTGCCTGCACAGAGTTCTCCCCACAAAAGAAATGTTGGTCAGTGCAGTGGAGACACGGTCTCCAGTGTCTCATGTGATCCAGCTCTAATAATAAACTATTGGGAAATGGGTCGGCTCCTGTTAGAGGCGAGTTCAAAATAAAGGCCATGAGAGCAGCAGCTGTCATGGGCCTCCGCACAGACCCATTGAATCCACTGCCCTTGTGTCTGCCTGTGGCTGTAAGCTGATGCAGACAGAAAATGAGACTGCACAAGTGTGAGATAACCACTTTCTAATGTTCTCCCAGCCTCCAGCTCATGAGCTTACAGGTCTGGTTGGAATTTCTGTGTATTTGGTAACCCTGAACAAATTTCTGCCCCACAATTTTTCCCATTAGTCCTCTAATGTTTGTAAACTTCTACCTTCTGCAGCATCCTAGGTAACCTTGCTGTGGATTTTGTCAGGTGCATCTTTAGAAAAATACTGAACGTGTATATACATATATATATATATGGCCATATTGAGGAAAGGCCAGCCTGGGCAGGAAGGCCTATGTGCCTATTTGTCTCAAGAGGATGAAACACTGACAGTACCTGTGGGATCTTGGATAAGGAGATCCCTCTGGGTGAGCCTGCATGCTCAGGTCAGTTCAGCAGGCACTGGGCTTGCATTCAGGAATCTAAACATCTTCCAGACGGGGACCCTCCCTCAATGAGGAGTTTCAGCACCTTCAGTCTCCCTCATTGTACATCCTCTGTTGACATGTGCATATTCCCAACAAAGTGCTGCTGGCGAGGCAGTATTTTTCCTTTGTTTGGGATCCTCAGCATTACTCTCCAAACCAAAATTCAAAATGCAATTCTTTTTCTGCTGACAGTAGAAAAGGGGGAAGTACTAATGTCACGTCCCATCACAGCCTGAACTATGGACAGAGTAAGGGACCAGGGAGAAGGTCTCTTTTCTTCCTATCAAGCCACAGCAGATAATGTTTTCTGTTTCAAGAGGTTACAGGACTAATTTTACTACTTTTGCATATGTTGATGGGAATCCTTTTCCCTGCGCAGAGCGGGAGCCAACAGTGCACAGAATATAAAGGAGCAATGCAGGCAGGCAGGAAATGTAGGCAACACTACCTTCACAGATTTAAAACACTTCTGTGACTTGCCAGAGCCCTTGAAAAAATGTTCCTAAGCAATGTATTCCATCCACTGGGGTATGCCAGTCCTGCTGTACAAAATCACTGCCATATCATTAGTGGCATGGATTCCATACTGGCTTGGCTCCACTCAATCTACCCTGCTCCTTGCGAAACAATGCCCTCGTAGGATGAGCAGCATGTAAGAGAGCAGGTACTAATCTACAGCGGGAGCAGCTTTCACAGCTGTGGCTTTGTGGGACAGATGTTCAGGGGCACGCAAAGCATTATCCTGATGGGAGGTTCCATCAATCTTTCTCGCACGTGTCTAATTTTGCCCAGCCTAAGGCCATTAAGATGCTTTATTTCACTCACATGAATTTCAGACTTTTCAGTGCCATGTCTTCAAAAGGCTTCCAGACTGAAATCTACTGTAATGTGAATGAAGTATAAATTATACTGAAATGTTAACTCATGTAAATCCTTATTAACTCTAATGGAGAACTTCAAAGCAAACCCAGCTCCTCCTCCGCTGCACTGCTGCTTTGTGAGGTATAAAGATTATGCTAGCATTGGTGGGGTTTAAATGCAATTTTCTATTTGATCATTTTTTACATTACAAAGTTTTCTCTTTCTCTTGCCAGTGGAGCTCTTTGGCAAGACTTAGGAAAATCTGAGCAGACTGTTGGATAGACTTCTGAAAGGATCTTTATGCTTATTTTGCAAAGCATTGAAATAGAGAGGGGTATCTGCATTCCCATAACCACTAGGCAGAATCAGCATCCATGTCTCAGCCTCTTCAAGAATTAAGGGTAATAGGGGTCTGGGAAGGAAGAATTACAACCCGCAAGTCACCATAACTTATGCCTTCTAATAATCTTTGCAAGCCTCCTCCAGCAGAAGGGAAATAATGAGACCTGATGCTTCAAATGCAAACAAGCATGCAGAAATGTATTTACTCAGTCTGGCAGAGAAAGTTCATAAGGGCAGCTAATCAATAAATCAAACTAGTAGCAAAGGGCAAAAACAGATTTGATTATTGCTTCACGGTTCACCACAAGGTAACAAGGTAATTTTCAGATAGAATGGGAGCTTGAATTGCAAATGCTGTTCCTGTATTAAAAATCAAGTTGCTTAAGTAACTGATTAACTGGCGATAGGAAAAGTGACAGCCTCAAAACAGCTTAAAACTAACTTGTATCAATTAAGTCTAGCTATTGACTTAAGCTAACACGGTTCCCTGCTGAATTTAAAAAACAGTAATACAAGATGAACTTAAATCAAATAAAGCGTGTTTAAGCAGGAAGGGATCGGACTGTCTGGGTTTTAGGCTTATTTTTAATTGAAGTTTTGAAATTTGGAACATAGACAAGACACTGTAATAAGGAGTCAGCATCCTTATTCAGAGGTGGATGGAAAGTAACACTTGGACTTCCTGAATCTTTGATGCTTTTTTCCTTCCAGGCTCTGGACTAATCCTTTGAGAAGGAAGAGATCAGATAGATCAGCTTATGTTTCAGCTTAAACTTGGGAAGCTGTAAGGAACCGAATACAAGCAGGAGGACAGGCAATGGGGGGCGATGTCTTTGCTCAGGTTCAAGTTGCTGGGGCACAGATGCAGTCACTGAGAGTGGGGCTCAGCAGCCTGCTTGCAGATTGAGGGGTAAGGAGCAGAGGGATGGTGCAAAGTAAGTGCTTTATTAGCTTAAAGCCTTACTACTTCTTTCATGAATTTGACCTCCAAAAGACCCTTAAAGCAATCTACATTTATTGTGGGCAAGAGCTTGCAAACACAGGAAAACATATGCCAGTAGCTCCCCGGTAATGATGAATGCCTAGGTTTCCTACCTGATTAAACAGAGGTGATTCAAAGCCACTTACGCAGAACTGATGAGTTTACACTTACAAAGTATCTTAAAAATCTGTCTTCTTTTTCAATATCCTCAATATACAACATCATATAAAGTACATTGGTGTCAACATATTTACATAAGAAAAACTTGTGGGTTTGCTGACCCTGAGACCACACAGAGAGCTGAGCAGAGGAAGTTCATTCCACTGATATGTCACAGGTCTCTGTGGCAGCATAATATTTAAGAGACTCATAAAAGACAAAGGTGTATGCAGCAGAGCACAAGGACCTAAGAAATTGTCCTCATCACATCACCAGGCCTGCAATGCAACAAGCTTTTCTCATGAAAACTGTAACCAAACTGAAGAAGATGGTGTTGTCACAGTCCTGAGAAAAGGGGACTCAAGCATACAGTACTGTTAGATGCAATTATTGAACTTGCCTCTGGCATTAGCACAGATCAAGAACAACTTCAGTCATCTTCACAGCTCCAGTGAAGCCCTCTGGTATGATCACAGTGCGCACAACTGCTCTGTAGCAGGTAGTGCTTAGGGGCTGATTCTGGCAGTGCTCGTCTTGGAGGAAGTCAGCTGCCAGAATGCACCCACTGACAGTTCTGTTTGGTTTTGTTTGTTGTTTTACTTTGATGCATAGCTTTCTTCATTTTCTTTAATATGTACTGTTCCTGGGAAGTAGTATATGCACAGTGGTTTTCAAAGCTGAAACTCAGAAGAGCATATGTAAAGGTTTTGCCCTTTCAGCAGCCCTTCTTCTGCCGTAGCTGAACGTCCAAATTTCGCAGGTGTTTCAGAAAGCCACGATTGGGTGAAATCCATCGATGCTCCTTCACTGTTCTGATGGCTTCAATCAACGGCAGGTGGTGATTTATCATGAGATATGCTAGGACTAGAGATGCTGACCTGCTTACTCCAACTGCGCAATGTACCAAAATTTTAGCTAGTTAAAAAAAAAAAAAAAAGAAGTAAGGCAAATTATAACCATAAAAGAGGAGCAGTATGGTGGATGAAGTTTTAAACTAAAAGAGAAGGCAACCCTGTCCTGCCTTCTCCAGTTTGGTCACGATTACACAGCAAACAATTTATTTTTTACCCTTCCAATAGACCACATGAATCATAGAATAGAATCATAAAATCATAGTATCATTACGGTTGGGTAAGACCACTAAGATCACCTAGTCCAAAAAGAGATGAACTGCTAACTGTTAAGTCTAATTTGCAATTGTTCTATTCATTTGTATGAGCAGTGCTATGAGGTTACAGTCTGATTTCAGAAACACTGGTAAGTTAAAAAAAAACAATGATGTTGCTCTATTGTGAGCAAGAGGAAGACCAGACCCAGTGCTTTCAGAAAGGCTTACTTAGGTGAAGAAGAATGCTGCAGCCTGGCCTGGAAGGATGGCGCTAACATATCAGCCACCAAGAAAGATGACTGGCCGAGCACCATTAAGTAATAAGTCAATTTGTCATGGCTGTATTTCTCTTTTGAAAGCAGAACATGTGAGAAAGATCTCCATCAATGCCAGTTTACTCATGCTAAGGAGCGGTCTTTTATGTAATACATGCATATTAGTGTTTTATAGCACCAGTGCCAAGACGCTCAGTCTCCTGTGCAACACACTGTAAATTCCCCTGGGTAAAGGTGAATCTCCTCCCTGGGAGCACAGCCCTGCGGGCCTTGTTCTCACAGGGAGATCATTCACAGTGTGTGGGCCTCTTCACATAGGTGGTGGCTAAAGAAATCAGAACTTTCGTCTTCCTATTCATTTGTTATGACAAATACAGTTGCCACGAGAGGGTGTCAAAAGACTAGGCCAGATAAGACTGCTTCCATATCAGATATATGTTTTTTCTTCTCTGTGAACAGGTCTTTCCCTCCTGATTTTTCTCTCTTCTTTCTAACTCCTTTCCTCTCTACTCCTGTCTCCCACTGCTCATCCTTCTCTCACTTCAATTTTTCACTGTCTTCCTTGCTATTTTGGAACCAGGCTGTAGCTATCCACCTGCACAGCACAGCTTCCCCTACCTTTACCATGCAGGTAGCAGTAGGCTGCGTACTGACCTGTCCACCACTGAGCTTGTGGGCCTGACTGGTTATGAAAGGCTGCCAACACACATACAAATACGAACAATGATCATTCTATACCTCCTGGTGTACTCAGGGCTTTGTGGATAAATTCTGCCGCAGAGAAAAAGAACTGGCTTATGTCAAAGCTGGGGAGGTCATGTGCTGGCACACCATAATAATCAATGGTAGCTCCATAGAAGTCCTGGCCTCCGTGGCTGTATGCTGTGCCGTGGGCAGCATTTAAAACATGGGTAACACCCATCTTCCACAAAACAAATCTGTTGTGAGCTGTTACTCTAAAAGGAAGACCAACATAAACAAATTAAGATTGGTACAGAGATACTCACAGGGCAGGAACAGCACAGCGATTGCATCTCTTATGCCGTGTACTCAATATAAAACAGTGCACTTTTCCAAGGAATAAGCGAGAACCAAGTATCAAATCAGTCATAAAATTATCTCAGAAACTCTGCAGTCTGCACTGTAAATGACATCAATCAGCAAAACTATGAGCTGCCTAATGCCACATTGATAAGGGGCACTAATATGCTGGTGAAGCATAATGTAAAGCAATGGCATTAAAGCTCAGTCATTCTGTGCAGCTGTACTTACAGGTCTCCCAAGAAGAGATTAGGCCACACTTCATCAACGTGGTTACAAGAAGGCCGCCCAGTGTTCAGGAGCTGCTCCAGCTCCTTAAGTGAGGGGACCTCCTCCATGCATGTCCCAGATCCTGGGGAGCCTGAGGGACCCAATACTTCCTCCCCAGACATATGAGAGCTGGGGAAATGACCTGCTCCCAGCAGATAGAGGCAGCGTGCTGGGCACTGGAGTGCCGCCAGCAGCCACAGCAGTCACAAGGCGGCTGGGAGATGGGCTGGAGCAGGTGCTGACAGCAGCTCTCGTCACTGCAGCCATACCGTAACATCCTCGAGCCCCCTCCCTAGGGCTGGCTGTCATGCTGGACCTAATTGTCCTTGCTGGTTTCAGGCTGCTCCCTGCAGTTTGTCTCCCTAGATCTTCAGCCTCCAGCCCATAGGATGTCATGATGGCCCTTAGTGATGTCCCTAATGCAGTAGTGGCAGCCAGTGAGGCCTGACTGTTCATTATACAGCCATAAAAGTCCTGATAAAGGAAAAAGGGGAATCTGTCTGATGCAAGATGTAGGGCAAGTATCTTACAGTAACTCAGAGGTACTTAAAAGTACAGCTGCTAAAGGCCTAGGAATGCACTGGCAGGTTCTACCAATACAATCACTAGGAGACTAAACACCAAATAGATTATGAGGTCTTGCCTATCATCAATAATCAAGAGAAGTTTATTTCTTGAATCTACTGTTTGTTTTTTTTCTTCCACCAAGTAAAAGAACATGAGCCTAGCTGTACGTTACACATCTATTCTTTTCTACTGCAGTTACTGCTTCCTCCAGTATGTTACTAAAAGATACTTGCTCTCTTCCTCTGTTGAAGAAGTTTTGGTGGGATTTTCCTTCCAGGTGTGAACTTTTGCCTAAGTAGCTTTGGTTTTCCACAGCTTTACTTCCTTCATGGCCTTTTAAAGCTACTCAGGATGGATGTAAAAAGCAACAAGCATGATGACTCTCAATAAGGGAGAAGCTAGCTTTCTCTGCAGCAGGGGCTTTCCAAGGTATCAAGAATTCAGACATTCTCCTGCCTGTTAGGACAGCAAACAACTCTAAGCCAAACATGTGCAATTATGCATGACGTTAAAAATAGCTGCTGTTCCAGCTGAAGTTAATGCATGATTAGCAGCACTTGACAGAAGGCAGCCTTTTAATTGGTGGACTATGCCTTTGTAATTACTTTGTAGGTAGCCTTGGTGCAGTGATCAGGATCAAACATTCCTTGGATAATAATGTAAGAGGTGGCAACCATGAAAACAGCCAAGGAGTGCTATATGAGCACGCAGTGTGGCATTGCCAGGAAGATGTGTGCTGATCAAAACCAGAGTGCTCATGGATGCTTTTCTCTTTAAAGTGTTGCTGTCAACCAAACTTAATGCCAATCCGTGACAACTTTGTCTCTCCCATGAAAACTGGGATCAGAATCTTTTCACCTATTCTGAAAGAAGAAAAAGTTTTATAGTGAAAATGCACTAGCACAGAAGCTCAGCTAGCATAAACAAACCTGGCTGTATATTACACTCACCTCCACTTTCAATGGATTGGCTACTCTCCCTCCTCTGCCTGCTTTCAGGATTTGTGTTTTGGGATAGTTAACTGTTGAAGAAGAATTCAACTAATTGAGTTCTGGTACATTTAGTTCAATTCTAAGCGAGACAGGATTTTCTGGCGTTCTACAACACTAATGTGCTCATAATCCATGGCACGATTTTGTCTGCTTTAGCACAGTGTTGGCTTTCTTGGCTTTTGCTCTGACAAATTCATCTTCTGCTTTAAAAAATAAGTTGATTAGTACTTAGCAATTCAGTCCATTTTTCTTCCATGGTGTGAATGAGAAAGTGAAAGAGAAAACAGATGCTTGAAAGTTCACACAACTGATTTGATGTGTTTCAACACACATACTGAGATCAGAAACATGATATGGCAAGACTAGGTCTGTAGAGAGAAGAGATCTCCAAAAAGAAAAAAAAAAAAGTGATGTAGATCAAGTAGCACTTCTAGCTAAAGGTCCTTCCTTACCATGCTGTATTCTTTGCTGGAGGAGAATTTTCATAAGCAGTTCATTCTCTCTTCATTTGAGGCCTTCATTTCCTGCGTATGGTCTTGACATTTATTGGAGATCGATTATTTCAAATTATTGAACGTGAACACTATTATTTAATGACAAAGACTGTTTAAAAAGAAAAACAGCATTACATTCACACATCTTTTTCCTTTCCTCATAATAAATTGCAAATGGAACTGGTTGGGAAATTTCAATAAAAATTTCCTTTCTTTTTGTGATTAAATATCATCCTGAATATTGGATCAATGTAACTGTGTAAATTGAATAAATAATTTTCAATCTGAAGATGAGCCCAGTGTAATCAAATATTCTAAAGATTTTTTCTTGGCAGGAGTTCTAAAAATTTCAATAGCACGTCGTTTGTCATAAATTCTCAGACTGACATGTAGGCATTGGCACTGCCTGTCAAACTGAGATCAACATAGCATAGGGTGACATAACTCACAGTGATAGAATGAGGTTTAGTGGAAATTTCTGCTAAATAAAGCACGTATCTAGATAGTTCACTCTTTAAAAAGCATCAAGCACTAGCAAAGAAAAGTAATTATCAGTTTTGAAGTACAGTGGCTCAACAGCTATTACATATCTACTTCTGAGTCCTAAATTGTGCTCTTATCACTTTTGTGTGTAAGCTAATTTGGTCATTTTGGAAATATCTGTTAGGCAAGGAAACTCAGTGGAAGAAAAATGGCACTGGCAGTGACTATTTCAGATAGATGTGCAGGGCTCTCTCCTTTGCTGCAGATGCCACAGGGCTGATGCAGACCAGGCCAGCAGCCAAGCACAGGGTAATCCCTGCAAGGCAGGGCCAGGCTGCATACATCTCTCTCTTCAACTTTTATGGCTGACACAGCACACTTGACCAGGGACTTACTGCACGAACATCTGTTGCTGATATAACATACCTTGGGTCCCGTGTACTTAATATATATGTACACACAGAGATCATTTTCCGACTTTCAAACCTGGAGTCTGAATTCAGGGAGTTGCATGACTGTGGGTTCATGCTGGTCTTGCAATCAACAGTGTAGGGAACTGGGATAAGAAGCTTTTGGCTTCTAATTTTTCATTTCTTATTGTAAATGAGCTGGGTATGGAGTAAGCAAAATTGCTTATTAACAGATTATCTTCAGGTCTACTGCATTTTTGCTTATTTCTCAGATCATACCCTTATGCAGTACAGTTTGTCACTGGCATGTTTTGACTTGTCAGTTTTTCATCTGGTGCATGTGAAGGAAAAAAGGGGACCATTGTGAGGACTGAAACAGCCTTCATTCCTGTTGCTGTCTGCAGAGGCAATCAGATCTTGGCAAAGAAAGCGTGAGGTCACCTCTAACTCCAGCACTTATTTGGGAAGCTATGCTTTGTATGGTGTAAAATATAAAAGCTGGATGGAACAGACTGCTCAGATAGGCACCTTCAAACCAGCATTGGGGCACTGAATAATGAGCAGGATGGTTTCTATTCTGCCTGTCCAGTGTTTCATCTATGTAGAACAGATACATTCCGTTACAACTGAGTGTACAGTCCTGTACAGCTGCACCAAGCTGCCCACTGACTCGTCAACTTGATGTAGCTGTGAAGCATTTTGAAATGCAGCATTTCCTTTGTTTCACTGTAGTTGCACGTGCATCAGGATTGTGAAAGATCCCTTTTTCCTCTGAAGAAAGAGAACAAGACTAAATTCTCTGAAAGGCTTAGCTCATTAGCTTAATGGAGTGACAATGGCGCCGGTGTTTTTTATTTCAAAGGAAGCAACAATTCAGGAGACTTCTATGGGACTTCACTGTAATTACATCAATACAGAAATTTCTGAATGTTCTTCAGACTGCATGATGATGCTGCAAAAGGCTGAAAGCTAAATGTCAGCTGATAGACAAAATAAATGTATTTCTGCAGTCATTTGGGTCTAATTTGTCTGCCCCCTACGATCCCCTCCATTTGTATTATTTATAGGCTGTGGAGCACTGGAGTTGCCTGAAGGTTCATCAGTCACTTGTCCTGCTCGCCTCTGTGCTTGGGATCACCTTGGAGCTTGGGATGACTGAGTGCTATCAGCCTGCTGCTGGCATTCAGATTTGTTTCATTTTCTACAGCCATCAAAAAGAATAATGGCGCAACTGAAGAGAGGAATGTTTTGTAATGCTTTGACATAGAAACATAGCTTTATAAGAGCCCTGTTGTTTTTTTTCTACATGTATGCCTTTGAATGAGGGGCAGGGGTATCGTCATGGCAGTGCACGTTTTTGTTGTCGGTGGGTTTTTAAGTGATGTATGGTTAACTCTATGTCCATGAGTTTAATAATAAAATTAGAGACAATTCTGTTCAGCGTAGTGAGAAACTCCCTTCCCCCATCCAGGTCGTACCAAGGTACTCCAAATGATGGCCACGTAGCCTGTACTGGGAAAAACAAACGACGCTGTATTTCTATAGAGCACGCTGTGCCCCCACCACAGCTCAGACAGGCTCTGCTGTCATCTCCATGAGCAACAACCCCTGCTTCTCTGCGGCTGTTCTCTGATGGGGCTGTGAGGCGTCACCTGCGGCCCCTAGGAAACACACCACCAACCGCCCACGGTGGCCGACTCCGCACCTCGCCGGACTTAGGAACGGCCACTCGGAACCCCAACCCGACAGGACCAGCACGGAGAACGCGAACGCGCAGCCCTCCGCCCCGCCCCTTCCGCCGCCCTCGCGCACCGCTTCCTGCCGGGGATGGGGTGGCTGCGGGGGCCGCCGCCGCCGCCGGAGGGAGGCAGGGCGGACAGGAGCCGCTGCCGCCCCGGCGCTGGGTGCTGCGGCACGGCCGCTCGGCGCTGCTGAGGTGAGGCGGGGCGGAGCGGAGCGGAGCGCGGTGCGGCGCGGTGCGGTGCGGTGCGGCGCGGCAGTGGTGGTGGGGCCGCGGGAGAAGGGGGCTCCGCTGCGGTCTTCGCATCGCCTGCCCCGGGACTCGCGTCGTCCGTGGGTGCCGGAGCCCGTCCGGCCGCGGGGGCGCGTCCCCGGCACCGGGCTGCCGGTGCGGCCCTGGGAGGCGGCGGGCAGCGCTCGCGGGCTGCGCGGCGGGCGGGCTGCTCCCGGCGGAGGCCTGCGGTACGGGGCTCCGAGGACGCGGGGCTCGGGAAGGTGTTGTGCTGGTGGAGCCCCTCGCGGAGTGGTGGGCGGCGGCGCTGGGAGGATTTTGGAGGGGTTAAGGCCGTGAGCTGAGAAAGTTGCGGCTGTGGTACCGTCATCCTTCCCGGGGAGCGCGTTGGGTGGCTGTCGCTGTTGATGGAGGTATGCTGGGGCTGCTCATCTTTAAAAATCCAGTAAGCTTGGGACGCGAGAGCAGTGCTTACACGTGAAGAAGATGATCTGTAGGCTTGGAAGAAGCAAAAATGTGAAATCGCCTCAAAAATGTGAAACGTTTTACGTGGTGGTCTTTTTGCTGCGTGTTCCCCAGCAGCGCAGTTAGAAGCACAGCACGGCCTGGAGCTGCCGTCCCTCGGGCTCCGTACCGCCGCTGCTCCTCGCGCACAGCTCGGTGATGCACCCACCAGCGGCTGAGGGCTGTGAGCTGTGCTGCCTTATGCGTGACACTCACAGCTTCCCAAAGCTTCTGATCTCTTGCGTGTTTTAATGCATTTAAAGTGAGGAAGACTCCGATCTTCGTTGGACTAGGGAGATGAGTTTGTCAGTGGTTGTTGAGAGTAAGAGCAAACATGGCTCCATACAGATACTGTTCTGATGTTAATGCAGATGGCAGGGTTGTTTCTGTATTCCACTGTTTTCACACAAAAATGAGGTGTGAAAAGAAAATAAAAAGAAGTTAAAAAGGGGAAAGCAGCAAATCTGAATTGTTGTTCTCTGAGGAGCTGGATGCAGGATTTTTTTGAAGTTGGTGAAAAAGATCCTTGATATCTGACATTTAGCATGTGCAATGTTCAAGGTCTTGTACAAATATCAACGAAATACTGTGCGTTACATTCTAAGATAATGAAGCGGGGGAGCATTCAGTCAGTTGCTTGAAAGTCACTTGTGTGTGCCATGAATGATTGTGGTAGGATACAAAACGTTTTGTGAGCTGGTTAGCAGATTAGGAGTGGAGATGCTCTCAGTGTTCGCTTGAGTGTAGTACAGCCCATTTGGTTTAATGAGGTGCGGCACTCGAGGAGCTGTTTGTATTCTATTCAGCTGCTGAGCTGTGTAATCGCACTTAGTGGTTCTCAAGACAAATGAAGTTAGCTTCCAGGATTGTGTGTAATAGCTGCTGTCAGTTTTGCATGGAGGCATTCCATCAGAAGGGCTCTTTAAGCATATGGAGCTAATCTTTGCTTTTACTGTGTCAGTTCTTTATTTTCCACCATGCAGCGCTTTCACTGAACCATTCTTGAAAAGCAAATCTTCCTTGGTCATCTAAGGCTTACAGTAAGCCGGACAGGTGTTACTTTGTGAGACTTTGTGTCTTACCTTTGTAAGTTGCACTGAGACCTGTCAGAACAGTTGTAATGCTGACCATAAGGTCGCTTAGTAGAAATATTTATGGAGCATCTCTGATAGTGACATCACTCAGTAAAACTGAAAGCAGGATTTACGGGAGCATTTCTGCATGTGAAGTTACTGTCGGCTCACTTCAGGAAGTCTGTCCCATTTCTCAACCTCAGAGTGCTCAGGCTTTTCAAAAAGAGCCAGGGATGAGCAGCGGCCGCAGAGTGTGAGTGCTATTTATTGTGTGACAGGGGAGTGGTTCTTTTTCCAGCACAGCAGTCCTGAGTGAGTGTACAGGGCAGCAGGCTCACCATGGCAGGCTGCCTCAGCACTCTCTATTGTGCATGGCTTTTCTGTGCAGCAGCAGAGTCCATGTCATGCCTGCATTGCATACCAGCAGACGTTGCATGGAAATCTTTTCTCCCAGAATGTGAGATGTGGTGCTCCTCAGCCAGCTGAGTCAGTGAGGGGGGCTGAGCTGGGATTACCTACATTCAAACTTCAGCTTGAAAACTATTGCAAAGAAATGTAGGTTATATCCCTTGAGAGCTGATTGTTCTTCAGTCACCTTTCTAGAATTCTTCTCAAGGATGGCAAGAATTGAAACTAGCTGGGGATAACAATCAAGAAATGTGACAGCAAGGGGTCACAGGCAGGGCAGCACAGTGATGGTGGCTTTGCACAGTGAACATACAGCACCCTGCTGAGCCTGCTGTGGGCACTGCCGGCTTCTCACTTAGCCCTTCTGCTATAAAGCTGGTGTATGTGATCTCCATATCAGGTCTGTTGCCTCATGTTAGTGTAATGATACTGCTACTGTCTCTCAACTGTAGCAGGAACTTTCCACCTTTGTACCTCAATACAGTGACTCAATGTCACAGTGTGCTGGAGAAGTTATGGGCTGGGTGGTTGACTAAAGGTAATTTAGTGAAGGAAGACATGCTAGAACTGTGGGTAATAATTCTGAGAGGGATGAATTTTCTGATCTAAATGTGCATCTATTGCTCCTACAGTAGTTCGCATTCAGTTGTGTTCATGCTGTTAAAGGCTGGAGAAGGAAAAGGAGAAATAGAACACATGATATGTGCTGCTGATGAGCTGACTAAATATAAAGTCAACAGTAACAGGAAAGTAATCAACCAGCTCACTGCAGACATTGCTGATGTCAGGAGAAAAGTATATTTTGCCCTCTGACACTTAAGTCTGCGCTTGCTTAATGTTATTCATGTGTTCCTTTATTTGTCTTTGGAGATAAAAACCAGTAATGTAGGAGGTTCTTGGTGTTGCTTTCTTCCAAAAGGTACATACAGTCATCTGGGTGACTCTTCTGTTATGTTAGTTGGTCACACAGCCTGGGCTGCTGGTGTTGGACTTCAGTGCAGACTCCATGTATGTATGCTTCATAATATTTCCAAGTTAATAGTGGGATAAAAGAAACCACATAAAAGTTATAGGAAAAAAATAAGGTTTTAAATTTTCTGTGTATATAGAATGTTTCTGCTTCTGTCTTTTAAGCTAGCATTTTTCTTAAGCCTAGAAAATGAACGTTTTGGCATAGAGATCTGTGCTGTGTTCCGAGTGCTAAGATTATTAGGAAAATGTGCTTTTTACTGTGTAAAATATGAAAGTGGCACTGAATGCATAGTTCAAAGGTGAGTACAGCTTCTGAGTTTAAGGAAAATATCTTGTCATCAAAAGTGGACTTAATTGCTGCTGTTCCGATGAAGTTAGCCATGAGTTGTGTGGGATGGTTAACTTGGTGTTTTAGTGCTATCTTTGTCTTTTCCAGCTGGCTAAATATCTTCTCTTTGGCAGCATTTGGAAACAGGAGCAAGTGCTATCAGGTGCATCATAAGTTGATGCAGACTTTCTCCCTGGTCTGCCCAGTCAGTAATGACCTTTGATGCTTTGGGGTATGCTTACTCAGTGTTGTGAGGTCACGTTTCTTGCATGCCGTGCAAGGACTGATTTCTATTAATTTATTTATTCATTCCTTTATTTAAATTTCTGAAATGCTATATGAAGAAATGCTGAGTGGGTGTTGAGATTCTTTTACCAAAGGAACAGAATTCTTGCTGGGCTGAAGGGAGTTTCCTGCACTTGCCCTCAGAAAGTGCTTTGATTAGAAGACAGGTCAATAAGTTGTGTGTGTTTTTGGTGAGTCTAAATTCACCACTTTTGGAAAATGTGTGATGATTACAGTCTTGTAAAAGCACAGATTAACATGTGGGCGTACTTTATCTGTACTTCTGAATAAAGGAAGCTGGAAATTCCGATGAATTACTCTTTTTTTTTTTTTCCTTTTAGTGGAGTAAGTTTTTTTTTAAGTATATAAAAAGATCAATTAACCATTCATTAATTACAGATTGTTACTTGTTTTATAATGGCTATGTTGATACAGCTGCTTTGAGCAAGATCTTCAATAGGTAACAAATGATCAACTCTACTCTCACATGGAGAAGGAAGATCACAGTAGATGTGGAGAAGAGTAATGGTTTGTGGATATTTTGGCAACTGTTTAAATCAAGATGTTAAAGGTTATATACGTATTCACTGTATGTGGCCTTCTGAGAAATAAAATCTGTGTGTAACGTGCTGTTCATACACCATCAACTCCACGGGGAGTATTTTAAGGAGTACCGCTCCCTTGGGCCTTTAAAAGGGCAATGTTGAATTGTGCTCCCGTTTTTCAGCTGAACTACTTCTTTTGCACTACTGAGAAATGTTGATGGACAAATGGAGTCTTTTCTGCTACAGAAGAAAGTAGTGCACGATGCTGTTAGATTTGCAGTGGAAGAAATTGTGCTCAGTCATTACAGGCGCTGCTTCTGTGACAGGCATGGTGCCTTTTTAAAAAGAAAAGGTGAAGTAAAGCTTGTGTGTGTGGAAGAGCTGAAAACTCTGGAATGTCTGTGTTGAGTTCAGTGTCTATTTACTGTGTGCAGAAGCTTAATAATAGAAATGTTTTGTACTGTTATGTGTTTTCTGAGATTTGGTTGATGTGATTGAAGCATTCTTGTTAATTACACTGCTTTTTCTCACAGGAAAGAGCTGTGAAACCATATCTGTTTCTTAGACAGTAGCTGTACAAAAGCTACCGAGTATAAATTATGCACCAATCCATTCTGTACTGCTCTGGGTCTTAAATATTGAATAAGCTTTTTAATTCTTTTAAATCATTGGTAACATTATTTTTTTCATATATTCCACATAACATATTGGGATTATTATTATTATTATTATTAGTTTTTAACTGCACTAAATTATTTGTAGAGCAGTGAACTAACCCCCATAGTTTGAAGCTGTTATGGTATCTCGTTAGCCCTACATGAATAAAGTTGCTGCATTGAATTCCCTTCTTAAACAATATTCTAGAGTTAAGAAAAGGATTATTGAGAAATTTTAAGAAGAGAATACGTTTTTTTGATTTTTTGATATGATCTCTATCTATCATTACCACTTCTAAAGGTATTTTGAAATAAAAAATAGTGTTTGGTTTCCAATGCTTTTATTGTAAGAGCATAAAATCCTAAATTATTTGCAAGCATCTGTATTAATTACTTAGCTCATACATACATATCTAAGCTGGACAAGTGTACCATTAACATATAGCTGAGGTGGGCCGGGTCAGTATGACTGTAGATACCAAGCATTAGGTTTACTGGGTGGGAGCTCATGCTATCTAAGCTGTCATGTGTATTTTAAAGCAGTGGAGTATCTTGGACCTGTGATATACTATTTTAGCTATATTTCAGTTTTACATGGTTGCTGGTCTTACTTCCCTCCTTAGTTTTTGAAGTTCAAACAGTAGACAATAATAATGATTAAGCTACTATTTAAACAGGGTAGTCTTTATTTCTTGTTGCCTAGTATAATTCACAAACTCAGATTTTCATTTGTAATGAATAAAAGGCAAGTTAGATCTAGGAAATATTCTCACTCTGGGTGGCTTTACATTTCTCAAGTTAAACTTAATTTTACCGGACTGAAATTGTTTCAAAATATTTACTTACCTAATAAATTAAGCCTGGTTTTTGGCTGGCACTTACATGAAACATCTTTGGCTAATTAAGCATCTAAGAATGCATGAAAGACAGTGATGTTCCAATAATCTTCAATAAACATTGAGATCTTGTCCCTTTCTCCAATGTAAAACAGGTCAGTTTTATTGGCGGAGAGAGGACGATGGCAGGCAATAACCAGCTTTGCATTCGACGTTGGACTACCAAGAATGTGGCCAAGTGGCTGAAGGAAGAAGGCTTCTGTGAATACGTGGATATTTTGTGCAATAGACACAGACTAGATGGAATTACGTTGCTGACACTCACGGAGTATGATTTACGATCTCCTCCATTGGAAATCAAAATCCTGGGGGATATCAAAAGGCTGATGCTGTCCATACGGAAGCTACAGAAACAACATATTGATGTCCTAGAAGAGCTGGGATACAACAGTGATAGTCACATTGGCGCTGTGTGCGCTGCTGTTGGCTCGCTGCAGGGTGCAGATTGGTTTTGCAATGGTGAAGTTCCTCGGGACTATGATGGACCGGTTACTGACTTGAATGGTGATCAATATCAATATGCAAATGGAAAAAACAAACATTCGACAAGAAGACTGGACCCAGAGTACTGGAAGACAGTTTTAAGTTGTGTTTATGTTTTCATAGTGTTTGGCTTTACGTCATTTGTTATGGTTATAGTACATGAGCGAGTACCTGACATGCAGACATATCCACCTCTACCAGACATATTTCTAGATAGGTAAGAAATTTTCTTTTAAAACAAAGCAATAAGTTGATGTCTAAAGTGTGGGCTGCCATTTTTCCCTTCATTTTCAAAGTTTTGTGTGTTCTTGAAGATGGTTCTGCAAAATGTTGATGAGTGTAGTACATTCTCTCCAAACACTGAAATGTGCTTCTGTTAGATGTAGGGATTTGGTCATCACAGGGGAAAACAAATTGAACAGTTATTCTACCCTGTTTATATTTAATTCTGTGTCTTTAATTGCAACATGGGAATTAATTATTCAATCTTTTCATCTTAGTAAAAAGGATGATGGTCAGCTGTCATAGATAAGCAGCTGTTTGCTTTTCCTGAAATCTGGATGCTGCTATGAAGCTTAATATGTCTTGCTATATGAAAACTTTTGATGAAGGAATGTTCTGGTCTGAATTTTCAAGTTCTTTCTCAGTTGTGGCAGCCCACTGATGGCTGACTTTCTGGAGAAGATATATGCTTTTTGCTTTGGGGTTGGTAAATGAAGACTGGAGATTTTCAAAAGACAAGTCAAACTTCCTAAAAGTCATGTCTTTGTGGCTTTATTCCTTCTAATGTCCATTTTCATTATCGGATTCAGTGAAGTCACTAGGGATCTCGTCCTTTGAGGCAGTTTACAGAATCTCCATGAATTATATATAACTTGGCCAGGATGGTCCTCATCAAACAAAGTGAAAAGAAATGAGAGCAGTGGCATTGCTGGATTTTGTTCCCAGGGCAAATTCCAAAGTATTCAGTGAGTGAGAGGATGGAGGAGGTCAGAAAGTAGCAGCTCACTGAACAAAAAGAGGATCACTGGATCACTACAAATCTAAGCATTTGAGCAGTGCTTTGCTACCTTTTTGTACCAAAGGGAACACACAGCTGAAAACTGGTAGTCTGTTTTGGTGAGGATGTGGAGTGGAAATCGTTGCTAGTGCAACATGTATGCAAGAATTGAATCTTTTGGTCAGCAAGGCTAGATGGTTTGCATACAGTGATTATCACGGAAATCTACCTTTGAAAGGAATTTATACTTTTCCTAATACTTTCCCTTGTAGTTCTGTTTCATTACAAGTACTTACGGTTTTAAGCTCTGCAGGATTTCCTTAGTTGTGTTGACGTGGCATTTTACAAGCATAAGCAGCATAATTGGTGTGGTGCAAGTTTGTGTCAGAATGGTTTGTAGAGAAACGATGGTGAAGGAACACATCCTGTTAATAAATCATGTAAACTAAATGAGTACAGTTGAGATTTTCTTTCATTTGGTGAATTCCATGTAAATGTTTCCTGAAAATGCAGGACTAGAAAGGGGACAATTGAATTACAAAATAATTGAAATTATATTTCACTCAGTCTAACAATAATTTTGATTGTTGTTTATTGTGAGAGTAATGCAAGTTAGTTTTTTAGTTAGAACCTTACATGGTTTGTTGTTTTGTTTTAATACTGAGACTAGAAAGGTTTAATACAAAGCCTTAATTTTTCTTTCTTGCTTTGTCTCTTTTTAGTGTCCCAAGGATACCATGGGCGTTTGCTATGACTGAAGTATGTGGTGTAATTCTTTGCTACATTTGGCTGTTGGTTCTTCTGCTTCACAAACACAGGTACAGTGTATATATTCAAGGCAAGTAACTGGTAATGTGATGTAGAGGAAGGAGTGTTACTAGAATTTGAGGACTGTTTAAGACTTTACAATTAATAATACGTTGTTAGAATAGAGTGGATTTAATCAAGAATGTTGAGTTGTGAAAATTATGGAGCAATCTGAATTTATTTTTCTATCAGACTTGCAGATAATTTCCCGCAGAGCATGCATATTTCAGGGACTCACCATTATATATTCTCATGCTGTAACAGTGCTGTTCATTCTGAGAATGATATTCCACAGGATGACTGAGCCAGTCTAGCGGTTTGCTGTCACAGAAGGGTAGAAAACCCATTTGTGTGTGTGCCTATTATAAGTTAACTTTTCACTGTTTTGTTCATTTTTATCAGTTCATCAACAGAAGACATGAGTGCCAAAGCTAGTACAAGTGCAGCTAACATAAATGCAGAGGAGTGGGGCTGCAGGGCTTTTGTTGGCTTGCTCCACTGTCTCACACCGTCATGTGGAGTATTGCCTTTATAGTACTGCTTACAAGTAAAATCCAGTGATTTGGAGCTTTGTGAGAATTAAGCTGAGGTGGGAGAAAATGTTACCAGCATAAAAATACAATACATTGGGATTCTTACTGTCAGTTTCTGTGTATTGTTCCCAGGTCTATACTTCTGCGAAGGCTTTGCAGCCTTATGGGGACAGTATTCTTACTACGTTGTGTTACAATGTTTGTTACCTCACTCTCTGTGCCAGGCCAGCACTTGCAGTGTACTGGAAAGGTAAAAGCATGAAATGCTTCAAGTTTTCTCCTGTTTACTTTTTAAAAAGGTTTTGAAAAAATATTATTTGAGTTATGATAAAGATGATAGTGGCTATCATGTTAGGTGTATATTGGTAAGATCAGCATGTTTCTTCTCCTCTCTGCCCCTGTTCATTCGTTGCCATTCTGCAGGTATTGCACATGTAGGAGTCTTTAAAACTCTTGCTGTTTTGGAGGGAGGAGAGCCACTTTGTAAAGGGAGAAGGGGAACTTTTAAGAATATTTCACAACGTAAACTGGAGAGAATCTTTCAGAGAAATATGCACTTAAGGCACTGACTTAGAAAAACTAGAAGGTGGAGTAATCACTACCTCATATTGTTGGGTGCATGGTTTGGAACAAAATATTAGCGTTCTAAGAAGAAATATTCTTTTTAATTTGGGATTTCATATTTTTATCCTAGTTTCTAGTTAGAAATTTGAGCTGAATGGTAGAAGATTGACAGTGATACAGTATGAGGTAGAATGTGCTCAGGGAAAAAAACAACATACACTTGGTATGTAACTGACTTGCAACAAAATACTTGCTCTACATGCTAGGATTAATCAGAGGCAGTAATTGACATTACTAATGGAGCTCATCACCACAATAAAGGACAGTGATGTGCTAACATGTACTTTAATAACAGACCCCAAAGAATCAATTCTACTAATCACACATAGTACTAGAGAGCTAACTTCTAGTTATCTGTGGTATAACTTGAAGGATGTATTGTTAGTGCGGGATAGGAAGTTACTAAAGTTTAATGTTATTGTCTTTTACATGTAGTTGTATGGCAATGTTTGGGCAAAACTCCAGCGGGCATTTGCAATATGGAGTGGCTTTGGAATGACTCTTACTGGAGTACATACATGTGGAGATTATATGTTCAGTGGCCACACTGTTGTCCTGACCATGCTTAACTTCTTTGTCACCGAATGTAAGTACACAGTGTCAATATTTAAATGTGCTGAAGTGTTAAGAATTTGTACTGCTTGCTGTCAACCAAAGGTGCACAAATGTAAATACTTAAATGTCCTTAAGTGTTCTTTGCTGCTTGTCCTCAGCCGAAGGCATGGAGAGTAACATTAAAGTTAACGAATTCAGATCTCTGCTTTTTCTCTGGTTTGTGGTGGTTCAGTTGCAGACGGAAAAGAAGCAGAACCACATCAATTTATGGAAGGATAAATAGGATATATCTGAAAAAAACAAGCAAGCCAAGAAATTATAGAAAGGTTTTGTAGCTTGCTGATGGGAGAATACTAGGGAAGTTATTAATGATTTTCTGTTCCTTATATACTTTCCTTGATATCTGTCAGCAACCTATCAGTAAAATCTTAGGCTAGGTGTACCTTTGGTATAATCCACAAATATGAAATACAAAAGCTCACATAAGTAAGAATATATGAAAGAGTACTGTCTTCTAAATATGAACTGTGATTTAATGCAGTATATAGCAATCTAAGATAATTAGTCTGAGTTCATGTTTGAAGGAATGATTGGAATAACAGAAAAATCTATACTTCATGATATTTTTCTCCCTAATGCACAGAAGAGGCATTTTCATTAACAGAAGCTGTTTGGACTAAGTTCTGCTTTACGCGATCCTAAAGCATTTTAGGATACTTGGTTAACTCAGAGAAGAATGACAGCTGTATTTGTAAAGCATTAATGAAATGGTTGACATGTATAACATGTTCTCATTGAATTTATTTGACTTGTGAAACATAAACAAGATTTCTAGATGAAGACAATTTCATACTTTTTTAGATGAAAAAAAAAAACCCCACCACATATAAACTTACTGGATCTAGGCCTGGATTGAGTAGTGACCCAGGGTTTTGAGACACTTAAGGTCAGTTACTCTGTTTTCTCCTAGATACGCCAAGGAGCTGGAACTTCTTGCACACCTTGTCTTGGGTCCTCAACCTCTTTGGAATCTTCTTCATTTTGGCTGCACATGAACATTATTCTATAGATGTCTTCATTGCCTTTTACATCACTACAAGACTCTTTTTGTATTACCACACATTGGCTAATACTAGAGCATATCAACAGAGTAGAAGAGCAAGGATCTGGTTTCCAATGTTTTCTTTTTTTGAGTGCAACGTTAATGGTACTGTTCCCAATGAGTACTGCTGGCCATTTTCAAAACCTACAATAATGAAAAGACTGATTGGCTGAAGAGTGCAAGGGTCAATTCAGATTTTTATAAAGTGTTATGACTAAGACCCTACAAGACTAACTGGAGGGGTTATAAAGCAATGTTTTTTTCATTCCGTGGCCAACGCCTCCTTGTCTTGTTTCTTAGATTCTTAGCCATAGAATGGGATTGCCACAATTCACAGGAATGTGTTTTGTTGTTGCTTTAAGAAAAAACAATGCAGGGTCTGGTAGAGAGGCAGTCAGCAAATCATGAATATGAACCAGAATACTGTTACCCTTAGTAAGGTTCTGTGTGAATGTTTAAGTAACTTTAACCTCAAATGTGTGCTTGTGCTGAATATGATAAACCCTTTACAGACTCGGCTAATCTCCATTCTCTGACATGCCATCCTTCCTGTATACTGACTAAAAATTTAGAACTTTATGACGACTTTCTTTTAAAACAGTCATAAATTTAATTATTAAAACAAACTGTGTATGCTTAAAGATTGAGGAGTACTGTGTCATAATGAGGAAAGCAATATAGTTCATGCTTAAAAGGGTCTCTTAACTGTTGTTATTTAATAACACGTCGTAAGGTGTAACTGACAATATAAATGGTCTCGTACAGATTGCCAAAAATGAAAGTCTACCTTGTGGCTATGCAGTGATGATGTCTGGTTTTGTTTTGTTTTTTTAATGAGAGCTTACTTAGTCTAGTCATCGGTCATCTGTATGGTTGTTCTAGCACAGGGAAATCTTCCCTTTTGTTTTAAATAAATGAGTTAAAGTGAATGCTACAGCCATTGAAAGCAAAGTTAATTTAGCTTTAGCACATTTAAAGCCACGCATAACTTTTCTGTGTGGTTTTAATTGCTTTTTATACTCAGACCAGTGCATGCTTTTTAGGAGCAGCTCTTTAACATTGGAAGAACAGAATAGTTTCACATATCTTATTGTCCCATAAATGGATGGGGAAAATGCATGTAGTAACTGTTTCAAGAGGAGTAATAATAGTGAGTTTAGGAAGTAGTGCTCATATTGATGTGCATTGTAGCATTCTGGTGTCAACAACATGATGAATATCTCTGAATATACAAACACCATACATTTTTTATATATACATATATGTAAAGACATACACTTATATGTTCTCCTAACAAATATGAAAGAGACTAGTTGTTAATTAAGTTGCTCATTTGCTACTCTGAAAGATAGAAGTACCATAAGCAGTTGACTTTGGGTTGTTAAAAATAGCAAAAATAGCACACTCCATAATGCGAAAGCAAGGATTACATAGTGATCTCTTACACAGTGGTTTTTGAGTGGACAACTCTTAACACTGACTGTAGAAGCTTGAAACACATTTATTCTCAATGAAAACTGATAGGTAGAAGGTGCAAGCCATAAAAATGATGGAGCCATTTTAATCTGTTGTTGCAATTTCAGAATAGGTGGCATGTCATGGCTTAAGTCAGACTTGGAAAGTAGCATGAATTAGTTCTGGCTTAGTTCAAGCTGTCTTGATGACCATTATGTCTGCATAGAGAAGAATCCTTTTGAAATTTTGCACTTCTCTGCAGTGCATTTCTTTCACAAACCTGGATTACACCATCTTGACCATCATGCACTCTTTGTGATGTATTACTTTTGTAAATTAATTTAGTTCCTATTTCACAGAGAAATTGTGCATCTTGAAGTATCTCTGCCACCTGTAGTGAGTACACATACATCATACTATTTTGCAGACTTTATATTTGTAACATTCAGATTTTTAGTAAGATTTCAAGAATTCTGTGTTGTTCGGTTTGCCGTAGCCTAGTGGCTCTTGCCATCCAGATTGGTGAAAGATGCTTACACTTCAGGGGAAAAAAAAACAAAACTCTGAAAGACTATTCACTTGCTGTCCTTATCTTTCTGATTTCAGAAAGGCAGTTTGAACATTCCTCTTGAGACTTTATAATCAAAGAGCTCTGTTTGCTAACTTAAATTTATCTTTGCAATACACGTGCAGTTATGAATGCTGTTTTTTAAACTCTAGGAAAGGATCTGTTCTCAGGATGTGCAGGGTTGTATTCTGAATTCTGACGTGTGATGGTGTATGCTATTAAACTTGCAAAGCCATTGATTCTGACAAGAAACATGTGCTAGCTGGCACAGCTGTGTCTAGACTGAAAAAAATATTTTGCAATTTAGGCATACAGGAGAATTTTCAAGTGCAGCCCCGTGTAACCATGTTTACATAAAGTAGAGCTATCATTTCAACGTTTTTTAAAATGAAGTTTGGATTCTTTGAAACGTAAGGCTTCTCTTTTTGTTCTAATTTAATTTTTCAAATTCTTTTAAGTAAATTTATGTTTTAAATCAACGTTGCCTATCAGTGTTCCTTAAAGGAAGTTGGTTCTTATGTTCAAGCTGTTTTGCTTGCTGCTAATTATCTGAGATAAATAATAAATAGAGTGTAGTTTGGTGAGAACTGAAGCACAGTAAAACACTGCCAGGGTAACTGTGCTCTTCTGTCTTGGAAGTTAATTTTGTCTATCTGTAAACACAGAAGAGGAAAGCTTGAAATTGATAGAAGACAGAAATTCTGATTTAATGTACTAAAAGATCACAGTCAGTCTGAAGAGCTGGTGATGAAAGATTTATTGTTAATGAGGTGGAAACAAGTTGCAAATGACGGACAGGCTTAAAATTCTGTACCTCTTTTCTGCAGTCAGTGTGTTAGAAGCATTTTGCTGCTACTCTGCTGCTGACAAGCCTTTTTGAGGAAATGCAGTAGAGCATCATTGAGACTTGGATTTAATGCTACGTATGTTGAGGGCTGTCTGTCCTCCCTTGCATTGGTGCACCAGTCTCTGCTCTCTTTCAGCTTGCTGCATCCCTTATGTGCCAAGTCATCTTCTGTTGTCTGTGAGTGTACCCCCTCGCTGCTTTTTTCTAGCAACTTTGGAAATCTAGTAATACTTGGAATTTGAAAATAGTCTTAAGATCTTCCTTGTTACCACTTTGGTGTTGTATGTGTAGGGTATGTCTGAAAATAAGTATATGTGTGCACAGACCTGAAGGTGATAGGCACGGCCACTCACGTAACTCATCTTCCATGTACCTCATGATATAGCTTCTTAGATTGGCCTTCTGGACTTCAGCTGTTCTTGAATAATGATATTAAAAACTTCCATATGTGTTAATTATTTTTACGTCCTTTAGCAAACAAGATAACACTAATGCAGAGCTTTGGTATGGAAATGTAGGTAGGCCTGAAGTTTTCAAATGCTCAAGACTAACAAGAATTGGATCCTGTAAGTATACTGCTCGTGGTGAAGCAAATGATAAGATTAAATGTGTAAGCAAGTCATAAAATATTCTGATTTTAGTGAGGGTTATCATTTTAGTTTAAGCATTTCCTTGGATTAGGCCAAGTGCATCCTGTGTATGATAGAGTAATGGGAGTAGGTAATGTCACTTTCTTTTTTGTTTTTGCTCTTTTCCCCCTTATCTGCTATCAAAGAAAACATTCCAGTAGAATTTCCAATAAATTTGTATCTAATTGTCTTGAGAGAACAACATTTAAAAAAAATTAAAAAAAAAATTTCAGAACATAAAAACATGTTATGAAGAAATACTTGAAATCCTCCAACAAGCGCTGAAGTGCAGGTTCCTATCATCTCATTTTCTGTATGAGGACACTTCATGTAGTTTCTCATGTAGTAGCAAAGAAAATATTTAAAGAAAAGATGGAAGGGCAGAACTCAGACATCAAAAGAAGTATTTTCAACAGTCACTATCTCCTTGGTGGTGTTTTTTTGTTTGTTTGTTTTTGTTTTTTTAGCAACACTTGCACATTTAGGTGCTCCACTTGTCCATTACCATTTAGCTAGGTTTTTTTTGGTTTACTAAAGTCCACAGAGGTTTTCAAGCATCAAAACTATTGTGGAGCTGAAATGTAATTACTAAGCATCCAATTGAAGAAATAGAAGGAAAAAAAAAATATTAGTTTTTTTGGATGAGAAGCAAAAAAGTAGTAGTCTATAATAAGTGTCAAATAGTATTTCATCTGTCCAGTCCATGTAGTTTATCCTGTAAAGTTGGTGAGTTTGTTGGAATTTGCAGGTAGTATTACTTCTGTGGCTTTTTATTTTACTTTTTTAATAATCTAGGATTCTTTATAAAAACTTGACCTGTAACTATAGAAAACAGCAGAATCTTTAAGTAGGAAGTCAATTCAGCAGAACTCCTAGCAGTGAGCCAGCTTGTCCTCTGAATTATTTTGTGCATATAGGCTATGAAACAAGGATTGCTAGACCAGTGATGATTAATAGACTTCACTCTTTCTGATGCATCTTTGATGTTGCCACTTTTTAAATTGAAACTGTGTTTCTTGGGGGGGAGGGTGAGAGGGGTGGAAAAAAGGCCTTTGAAGTGATTGTGCAGATGTCTTGCTTGTTGTATTGAGAAAAGCATCCAAAAAAACCCTCACAGCCCTTTGAGCACTATGCTGTTGTGAACTCTGAACTTTGCTCATAGCAGTTTCCTGAATACTTACTGTTTGTATCTTGAGAAAGGTGCAGTGAGCATTATGTACATAATTCAGTAACGTGCATGTTTTTAAAGCCAGTTTGTAATAGGTGTAAGAACTTCAGATGATGAATGTGGAGGACCTGACATGTTAGCCCAGTGATTATGTAGTTGAAGATGTGTAAATTGGTATTGCTGTCTCTTTGAATCTGGTTTTGTCAAATATGAAAAACTTGTCACATGTGAGTAAGCACAAACTGCATCGTATATGTTCCATAACATAATAGGGATATAGGAAAATGAGTTTTCACACTGAGCAGTTACTTCAATTTGTCTGACGAAGAAAATAGTGTTATGTAATGGCTAGAAGGTATGCCAGTGAAGTTTGAAGCAAGTACTGTAAATAAGTAAATATTGTTTGATTATAAACTCAGATTGAATTAATATATTGTTTTATATCTTTGTTGTATTAAAACATATTTAAAAGTACTAAAATAAAATATTTGAAAGATGGCAAATGTTTGTTTTTACTTCGTGTGTAAAATGGTGGATCTGTTATCTCTGTGCTGTGACCATAGAAGTATACCTGAGCAGTCTGGGGTGTAGGGTTGCTTTTTCCCACAGCTAAATTTTACTGGTATAAAAACAGGTGGTGTATCGGTTTGCCTAAGATTTTTGCTTTGGCAAATCACTTCAATATTTTTGCTAATAACAAGTTAGAAAATGTCTTGTCAAGAACTCAGCTAGGTATGACAGGACAGCTTTCAACACCTTGTTTTTGTATACTGACTTGATTTACTGCATCGCTGCTCACTGCCACACCTGGAGACATTCAGTCATCTTCAGCTGAAAGGGTGAAATGAACTTCTGAAATTTGTACATGCGTTTTTGTGCGCTCAACCTGTTACTGCTTTCAGTTACTGATTTCAGCCACCTAATACTTGAAAGGATGTACAGGAAACTCATTCCTAAGGGGATATTTAAAGAGTATACCAGGTATGCTGCTGCCTTGGAATTGTATGATTATACTTGTAAATGGCAACTATGAAGTCTCTTTTGTGACCTTAACTCAGCTGAGACACTTCCATTAGTGTTGAGCCAGATGCACTTCTAGGTGTATTTAACTGCTTCTTTGTTTACCTCCTTCAAAATTATATAATCTCAATCAACCTGGTAATTTAGAAAGTCCTTAATAAGAAGCCCTTTGTCACTGTATTATTATGATAAGTTGTTCAATAGAAGATTCAAGAAGAGAAGTGGATGTGGCAGTACAGCTTTCTGGAAAAAAAAGCAAAACATTCATGGAGAAAGGGGAACTGGAGACAGTAAGGCCCAGTATACCAGTGGCAGTGCACTTACGGCACCTGTTGGCCTAACATTCTGAGAACCCATAAATTGTGTTTTGGAAGCCTTAAACAAGTGTATGCTTTGTGTGGTGTAAACACGGATTGGGAAAGCTTCCAGAGAACATGACTGCCTGCTTCCCAGAATGTTACAAGACTACTTAGAGATGTGAACTTGGAATAAAAATCTATTCCCTCCACCATAGCTTGCATTTCTCTGTGCAACTACTGAAAACAGAGCCAGAAAGGAAAAACAGATGTTGTAATGAGAAGAAATAAAACAGTTTATGCAGATGGGCTTTAGCCTGCTGTTAAAAATCAGATGAAACACTTCTTGCTGGTTTATGCTCTCATTAGAGAGAATTTGGAATCACCAGCTTCAGACTGTCCTTCTGAGATCATGATTATTTTTTGTTCAGGTTTACTTTCAAAATGCTTTCAAGGACACCTGATACAGAACAGAAACTACTCCCACAGTAAATTAAGCAAGGGACATTAAAATATCTCCAGTATCTGCAAACTGTTTACTACGTCATTGCATCCTGACTCTGTCTCTGGTGAGCTTCTTGTCTACTCCAAGGTAGCAGTTTATCTTTACCTGTTAAATGTGATGGACTGCTCATCATTTGAGATGTATATTGAATGGTTAATCTCCGACTTCCCTAGAGCTGTCAAAGTATTTCACAACAACTTTGCATGAAGAAAAAAGTTTTGGACTGTTTGAAATTGATTTCTTAAAGCACACATGTGAAAGAAAGATTGGTGTTATGAGCTTTTCCTCCAATAAGGAAAGAAGTAATGTTAACAAAAGGTAGTTGGTACACAGAACGTGAATTCAGTATAATAGTGTGCATACACTTCAAACTCTTTTGGGAGATGTAACTGCTCTGGGTGATATAATAATTAAAGATTACAGCTGCTGTCTCGTGTCTGTGGCTACATAGAATGGTGGTTGAATTTTGTTTTTGTGTTTTGTAGTTTGTAATTTTTCTTTTTTCTCTCATCTATATTCAAATATGACTGGTTCCACCTGGATTTCTAAGCAGCTGCCAAATACTAAAATAATTCAAATAATTTCTGTTTCTCTCAAACTGGAGTTTGATGCTGTGATAGGAAATTAGTGGACTCTTCACCGCAGTCACTTGACAAGCATAAAATTGTTGACCAGCCACCTAGATGAGTTTTTTCCCTGAATGTCATTAGTTTCTCAAATGGGTTTCTTCAAGCTCTAGAATGCCATGGCAAAGAAGATCCATTTTGGAAGGAGGTGTGTTTACTGGAAATGTTTGTTTTCAAAGAAGTGTTGATCAGTTTAAATATAAAAAGTGATTAGCTTTTTTTCTCCCATTCCTTTGCTCAGTGAACTCCCCAAAGCTCAATCTGCGTCTGCATTGCTGGCTGTAATTAGAGGCAATAACCCTGAAGAGAGGCAGAGCGGATGAGCAGCAGACAAGGTTGCTGTCTGTACTGTAGCCCTGAGAAGGGATTCTCAGTAAATGAAGGGGAAAGCAGTTTAGTTCACCAGTACTCTGAAGGAGAGTGGAGGATGAAGCTCGAGGGAATTACCACTAAGTGTTCAGAGATGCCTGAGCTGGCAGAGGCCCCTTTGGTGTGCGGCTGGAGGCAGTGGGGAGCCAGGAAGTTAACAGCACTGATACCACTGTGTGAAGCTTCATCGCAAGCCTTGTCCCAAAGATTCCTCTGGAGCTTAAGTAAAAGTTAAGAATTCTGTATCCTTATGGCACCTTTCAAAAGATTCCAGATATTAAGTGTGGAAAAAAAAGAAGTGTAATTAAAATTTTTTTTAATGAGGAAAAGAGAATGCTTGCAAGCCTATTTCCATTAGGAGGGAATACCAGCATATCCTGAACAAGGTGGGGGGGGGGGAAAGTGTGATTTTTTTTTTTTCTCTTCATGCTTGTTTCCTAATTGTGTGTTACAATCTAAAGGGCTCTGCAAGTGTCACCACCACTGTGCTTCTGCAGGCATGTGATGAACTGTGTCCTCCCCCATCCTGCTGTGCTCCAAGATAAGCACCAGGACCATGAAGGGAGGTGGCTCCTGCTGAGGAGCGAGGCTGTGCTGGCTTTGCTCTAGGAGATATGCCTCAAGTGCCTGGCACCTTGACCTGCCAACAAGAGCAGAAGTTGGGGAGAGAAGGCAATATACACATATGCAAAGTATTATCACTTGATTTCTGCAAAACAATAACTGTTTTTCTGTACTAGGTTACATTCAGGCCAAGCTAAAATGTATATGGTGTTCAAATTGTGCTTAGGCGAGCTTCTTTTCTTTCTCAGCAATTTTCAGTGCATCTTAGCAAACTCCACTTTTCTTTTGAAAACATCATGTTGTGCTGTAGGGCTGTCCCATTGGTGAACATTGCACTGAAAGCCTCATGGATGGCATGGTGCTGTAGCCTGTGACACGTGGAATGGCTGCCTGGTACAAGTGCTTCTGAGGAGAGGAGCAAACACTTTGTGAGCCAAGTGCTTTAGCGAGGGTGCCAAAAAGTGACTCAATCTGTGAATAACAGAAGTTGGAGTATGTGCACTGCCTCTCTATTACTTGCCTGCCTGCTAAGAATAGCCCCGGCTAAAGCAGCAGGGCACACTCCTTCTGCATGTGACAGTCGCAAGCCGTCAGTCATGTGGCTGGAAATACCTACACAAGGTTTTGCTCTGCTGCAGGTTTTACTGAACATGCAGAAGGCAGCAGAGAAGAAAAAACTGGTTTGTAACAGACTCTGCTGAATGGTGACCAGGCAGAAGGTCTCTTAGATGTTTTTCTTGCAAAGGTGGTCTGGTGACTCTGGTTTGTTCTTCATGAAGCTGCTTGTGCAAGATCTGTGTCACCATAACTGAAACCATAGCTTCCATGGGAGGCTGGGCAGTGCGGAGATGTGGAGCTGCCACCTCTCTCGCAGCACTCAGATAGGCCTGGCTTTGCCTGGGGCACCAGGCTGCCCTGATGGTAGAGCCCAACTACTGCAGCGTGCTGCTGGCAGCAGGTGTGTGCTGACTGAGAACAAACTGAAGGTCATGTGCCAGAATTAATGCATTTTCTTCAAGCAGTAGTACCTACACAGCAGAGGTAAGCCGGTAGCTAAATTCACATCGGGGTCCCATGTAAGCATCACTGTCACATCCAAAAACATGAGCTGAAGTCAAAGCTCTGCTAGCTGTTATGTATGGTTTGCAACTCCTGTCATTTTCATTGGGGCTTTTCAGTGAGGATGCAGACTATATCATTTGATTGCTATTGATTTGCCTTTGTTTTTCCACATACTATTTATGTGCACAAATCCCTCCAGTGCTTCCTCTGAGGCAAGGAACCACAGCTTGGCCCAGTTATCTGTAGTGCAGAGCAGCTCACAGCATCTCCCCTAGCAGCAGGTGCAGTGGTGAGTGCCTCAGCCATGAGATTACAGCGGTCTGAACCCACAGACAGCTGCTTACTGTGGACATTCACATCCAGCCTGGGGTTGTCCTGACCAATGCCGATTAATACAGCTTTGAGAGGTGCTATCACAACAGCTGCATTAAGGAACCTTAAGTAAACCAGCTCAGCTTGCTGAGTTAACCTTAAGAAATCTCCCAGATAAAACCAAATCATATATTCATTTCATAGAAGCGTAAGGTTGAAAAAGACCACTAAGATATCTAGTCTATCAACCCATCCTCACTATGGGTTAATAGTCACTCACTAAAACACGTCCCTCAATGCCAGGGATGGTGATTCCACCACCTCCTCGGGAAACCTGTTCCAGTGCACTGCCACTCTTTCTGAGAAGAGACTTTTCTTAACACCCAACTCAAACCTCCTCTGGTGCAATTTAAGGCCATTACCTCTTGTCCTATTTCTGTTATTTCAGAAAAGGGACAGATCCCTTGTTCTTAGTTCAAGCTCTCAAGACAGAGCAGAGGTTTCAGCTTCCAAACGTGGAAGATGTGGAAAACCATCTGGACCTGGGACAGTGGGCTGGAGACCCCTGCTATCTCAAAGTGCAGTTCCACAGCAGAGCTGTTTCTTCTGGGGCAGCCAAAAAGGGTGCTGGCTTAGAAAGGCTTCCTTACCCCTTTTAAGAAGAGCACTGTGTTACCTCACTGGGGTTCCTAAGGGCACTTATCAGAAGCAGAATAAAGGTAATTTGGATTCCTTAATTGA